AAGCTAAATGAGCCCAGTTTTTGTCAAAAATAACCGAATGAGCCCAATTTTCATAAAAAACGAGCTGACTGAGCCCAGTTTTCTTCAAAACGAGCTGATGGAGCTCAATTTTTTAAATCAAATTGGGCTCACGTTTTGGTGCTCCTTTTTTCTAGTATGGGGCTGACTGAACCCAAAATTTAGCAAACAGAAAAGAATGAGATTAATCTTAGCGCAAGGAGCTAATTCAGCTCAATTGTTAGCAAGTTGGTCTCCTTCAGGTTCCTAATGCAATTTGATAGATCAAAACAAACAGTAATTCTACGTTTTGGTAGAACAGAGATCGTACACAGGTCATGTGCACTCAATGAGTCAGCTCGAGTCCATTAATGAAGAATTTTTTTGTACAGAAGGAACTGAACGAGCTCAACTTTGTTCCTTGATTATTCATTGAACGGGCTGAATGAGCCTAGTTTTGAAAAAATTGGCTCCTAATTGGGCGTTTCTGTGTTAGTTTTTCTGTGACAAATGGGGGACCAATTGTAATAGAAGTTAGGCTCCTTCAGCCGTTTTCCATAAAAAATGCTATGCAAAAAAACTCGACCCGGGTGCATTGAACACTTTTTATCAATTTGTTGAATAATTTTTATGGTTTCGGCTCAAGTTTTGATTTGTTCTGCTTTCAAGCTCAGATTGGATCGTTTTTTTTTTAAATACAGAAATAATTTTGAATTGACTTTTGCTTGAAGGTGGACTTACTATTCATGCTATTTATGTGATTTGCTCGAACTTGGTAAAAATATCTTCAATCTGAAATTCTTAATAAATGAAAACAAAAGCAGTTTTTCCACTTTCAAGTGTTCTGAAAATAGAAAAAGAGCAAAAACCGATTCAAAAGCGCAAACATAAATTTTGATAATACAGACTAGAATCGCTTAATTAGCATACGCAGAGATCTTCCAGTCGTCCAAAAAAGGGATTTTGAATCACAGCGAGTGTCAAATTATTTTTAAGTTATCTATTCGGGTTGCAATTTTTTTTTCGTAAAAAAAATTTATAACTTTCAACTAAAAAAATCTTCGATTCTAAGTTTTCTTTTTCAAAATTTTTTTCCGCAATTAGAATTTTACAAACTACTTTGATTAGTTTAATCAAATCAATTCAGAATTATGTGAAATATTTGAATTTTAGCAAAACTGATACCAAAGTCTGGATCCTTTTTTGTGCTAAAAATAAATTTAATTTGGTCAAACCGAGTGTTTGTTTAGTTTGATTGAAATAATATTATAATTATCTTTTTAGTCGTATATTAGAGATAGTCAGATTTGTCTTTAGATTTTTCTATCAATAATGATAATATAAAACTTAAAACACCCCAAATCTAGTTTCAAGCGTTAATAATCGATTGTTTTTGATTTTAGCAACAATATTAGTAAAATTGAGAAAAAATTGATTTTAATTTAAAAATAATATATTATTATCTCTTTTTGTGAAATCAAATTGTAATCAGTTATACTACATTTTAACCAATTTTAATCGGTTATTGATCTTCTGTTTTTTGATAAAATTATACTCGATTATAGCCGATTAATTGTATTCCAATTTCCAATTCATATGTTGTGCATAAAAAATCTATCATAATCGATTATAATAGTTGAAATCCACTTTGTTTGCCCATTTTGGCATAATCGATTGCTTACGCCTAAACTTGGAAGCGAGTAGCCTGAACACAATCAGGTGTGGCGATCAAAGAAAAAAATGAAACCATTTTGATCCCAAAGTCCAGTTGTTTGATCACATGATTGCTTAATTGATCAATTGGCTATAGCTTTACGAGCATTTGCTTCAGATTTTTTCAAACCCAAACTGGGAAACTTGGGAAACTTCCACTATTATCTGCTAAAATCTAATAAATTGTTCAGACGGTTCAGAAGTCAAATCAGCTGATGGCTTCTCAAATGTTGATTTTTATCTGTCAATCATTGGATAGTGTCCTTTGTTATTCATTAAAATTTTAATAAGTATCAGAAAAACAAAATTTAAATAGTGGAAAAAGCGCCAAAAGCTTGAAATTTTGCCAATTTGCAACAAATCAAATTATCGCCACGTTAAAAGAAGTTTCCAATTAAATTTTTATGTTGTCTTTCTTGATTTTTGCCTAAATTTTAGTTTAATTTCCACTGTGTTTTTTTAAAAAATTGACTCGTAAGTTTCAACATAAAAACCAATAGACATTTTTTCGAAACAGTTGTTTTTCCTTTTGTTTTTGTTTCTAGAAGTACAAAGCGTACAAGTATCAGTGTAATTGAAGACAGAGTTCATGCTAAGGCTTCGAAGCCATGATCAATTTTTTCATTCTAGGCCAGTAGCCGGGTTTGCACCGTTAAATATCAGCATCATAATTAACAGTGATTGTAAACGTTCTTTAGCGTTGAAAAGCAATAAATTTTAACAATTTTCAATGTCTATTAAATATTATCAAAAACTTATCAGTTTTAGTGTCCAATTTTTGTGCAATAATATGCTTTGATTTTATTGTAGTTTTTGCTGCTTTGCATTGTTAAGTGTCAGAAAAATACAGCTTGAATTATGACTAAACGTTTTTTGGTACTCTTTAAAATAGTTTTTTTTTCTGTCAAATGATGAAACGTTTTGCATTCAATCTAAATCTTTAAGTTTTATAAAATTTTAAAATCTTTTTTACGATAAAAAACGGTTAATAATTCAGCGAAAGTCTTCAAAAACCAAATCATGCAGTCCATGATTTCATGCTCATTTTGAGAGGTTTTTCATCTCTCTCTTATTTCAAAAAGACTTCCTTTTCGGAAAACTTTTGTGAGGTTCAATTTACTATTTCATTTAATGAAATTTATTCAGCCTTGATGCGACCGATCTTTACCAGGTTAAACTGTTTTTTTATATGACGCAGAGATTTGCGGGTAATGCGGGCGTCTCTATGGAAGTAAACTGCAGATACAGGCCTCAAAACGATACCAAATTTGAACGCTAGATCGCTACTAAATTGTTTTGGAGTCCAAAGGCAATTAGAAAGCACAAATATCCCACCACTCTCTCAAACTTTGAAACAAAAAGGTATTTAAAGTTCTCCGGCTGTCTTTTAAAGTTTATGAAGTAGTGTTCGTTTTTAAAGAATTCATGAATATTTCAAAAACAGTTGAAAACATTTCAAAACTTTTTTTCTGAACTTTTTGAAAACCATCGCTCGCACGGTCTGTTAAGAACGAGTGATATCTTCGCATATAGCAAAGTTTTGAATAGATCAAACAGCACGCCGATTTTAATTTGGAACTATATTTAACATGGCTTGTATTGCACGTTAAAATCATGATATAAACTCTTTGTTAATTTTCCCAAATTTGCCAAATTAGCAAATTAAAACCCCATACATTTCCAAAAAAAAACAAAATAGCTTTTAAAAAATTTATCTCATTCATAACAAGAAATCTTTCGAATGCTGTAAAAGATTTCCCGCAAAATTGCAAATTAAGAAGTTAAGTTTTGTCCAAAGAAAAAAAACACCCCGTGAGCCTGAGCGCAAATCTTTCGTCAGTTTCTTCAAAAGTCGGAACAACAATCTCAGTGAAGGGAGCAAAAAAGTCAGACACTAAAATTTTATAGTCAGACACTAAAAACTTGAGCGCAAAAAATCAGATCACCTACAAAAAAAACCATTTCATGAATCATAAGAATGGTCTTTTTTGATAACTTTTCCAGATTTATTTTAATAAGTTGTGACGTTTTAATAAAGGATGCACATGTAGTTGCAGTGCTAATTTAATTTCATTAGACAAAAAACAACCAAAATTTGAAACTTAAAACGCTTTTTTTCTCAAATTGGAGTGGGATGATAAAGACAAAAAGAGATGGAGCAAGAGTTGGTTACAGTTTTACCACAAATACTATGGTGCATATTGTTTTGCAGATTTCGGAACCAAAGCAGTTCATTTTCTTTTTACTTCTTTTTTTTCGTTTAATCAAGAATTACAATAAAGCAAAAGAAGCAATCAGTAGGGAAGTTATGAATGAGACTCTTACACAGCCCAGCAAAATTTCGATGGGTATAATCATCAAAAGTCTGGATAAGTTGTTTAAAAACGTTTTTTAAACAAAGATAATTTTTGGTTTTTTGAAATAAAAATTATGTTTTTGGCTATAAAGCAAAATATTCTGGTATACAGACTTTTGAAGAATTTGACGTTCTAGATCTTTGTTAGCCTGTGTAAGAGGCTCACTTTTATATAACTTGCTCGTCAATTGATTATGTAATTTTAGCTTGATCCTTGGTTAACTAAAAAAGTCAAGCTGACCCATTTTTGGGGTAAAACTTTGAACCCGAATTTAGCAAAACAATAGGCATTGTAATAAATTTGGTAAAACTTCAACCATTTTTTGTTAGCATCTTTTTCTCTAATCTCAATCCAATTTCAAGATAAACGTCTCTAAAATTTCGTTTTGTCTGGATAGTTTATGCGAGAATCTTCAGTTATCACGTTTCTGGCATCAAAAGTTCGAAAGAGAAAGCTGGTAAAAGTAAATTTTGTTTTCCTTAATAACAATTAATTACACTCATATTATATAAAAAGTTTTTTTTGCAAGTTTTGATTTTGTTCTTTGGTAATGAGAGTTTTCTGCGCTTCTGGCGAAGTAACCGGCACTTTTGTTATTTATATCTTTAACTGGAGTAGTTTTCAACGGCAAAATATACCAATTGTCTTTTTCTCAACAGTCATGAATGGAGACTAAAAGAAAACACATGTTCCAATGAGTGTACACGAATTATGGCAACCCTCTAGCTCCATTAAAATTTTGTAGGTTATCTATACTTATGTCTAAGGCTATGAGTTACCCGACAAAAAGGACCTCTCAGAAGTGAATCTGCCTAAAAAGGTGACGTTTTGCCGAAATATAATACTCAGAGAGTATTTCTTTTCTCTTAGGAAAAAATGTTGTCTTTCACTAATTGACCTTAATTGAATGAAATTTAGTTAAAAACTTTCGCAGTAAAAATTAAACACCAGTTTGAAGGTTGAATGGGAAATTTAAGCCCTTCTTAATTAGGAAAACAGATACTATAGTTGACATTTAAAAAAATTGTCTCGGTCACCTTAGCAGGTTAGTTTATTATTATTATTTTAATCTATCAATTGAAAAAGCTAAATATAACCCAGGACTTAATAACCAATATCGGAGATTATCCGATATTTCAAAGTAAGACACCATAAATATAAAACTCAAAAATTCATTGTTTTGTGGACGGTAATCGGCTTTAAAAAGTGCGTCATTTAATTTAACACATTTTTGTGTAATGGGAAGATTATAATTTAGGTAAGTCATTAAAGCCTTAAAAAATTACGCCTTCAGAAACAGCTGGACAAAAGACGGTAATGACGTTCGATTTCATATTTCTCAGTTTTTTAGTTATTATTTGAAAAACTTAGATTTAATATTAGCGAAAATGGAAACAATTTTAAAAAAATGTTATTTTGCAGTTAAATTTTGCCGTGTTTTTTTTTAAAGAAATTCTAAAGAGTACAAAAACGCAAATCTAGTTTCTGAGATTTTCCGAGCATCATTTCTTGAAATTCTCTCTAATAGACCAAAAAAATAGTATATAGTGGCGCCGAGGATGCCGCTGGAAAAACTTTAGGGTCAGTCAGCCAAAAAAGATTTCTCAAAACAAAACAAAGATGGAAATAAGCATTTGAAAATACTTAAACCAAAATGCTTCATAATTGACAATTTTAGAAAGACGACCCAAAGGCTCACCAGTTTCTAAAAGCTAAGCAGACTTCAAAATGACACAACATCTGGCTTTTTCCATGCTGGCTCTCGCTTTAATTTCCAGTTTTGATCCAGTTGAAAATGTGGGCGGGGAATTTGAACCGCTCGCTAATTACAACTTGGATCGGAGTCTTTTTTTGAAAGATTTGAGATCAATGATGGCACCTCAGTGGCTCGCAAAAAGAGGTAAGAGACTTAATTTCAATTCATATATTCGTTTGTAGTATGAAAATTTTTGTACGCATTTATTTTAGAAAATTTTCTAAAGGTTATTTCGCTAAATGACTGTTTCTTTTCAATAAAATGTTTGAAAAAATTAAATAACAAATTATTTAACTTTTATGCTCCAGCAGAAAGAAAATCCAGCAGAAAAATTAGTGTTTTTCTAAAAGTCTCACAATAAAGCGTTGTTTCAGATGATAGCGAAAAAAGTAAAGGTACTTTTAGTTTTGGTTGGAATTTAGAAATTATTATAGCTCTGTTATTCTTTCTTTGAAGAGATATAAGTTCTTAGTTATTCAAAAGAGGTAAGATTCGTACCATCGGATTCATTTGAATTCATAATTTCGTTTATAGTTTGAAATATTTTTCAAAGCTTATATTTTAGAAATATTTAAAAGAATTAAATATATATATGTCTTAAGTATTATGTTTAAAAACCACGTTTTAAAAAAATAATCAACGAAGAATTTTATTAGGAAAATTGAATTACAAAACAGAAATTTTTTCCAGTAGTCTCACAAAATAGGGATATTTTAGTTGAAAGCGAAAAAATTAAAAGTATTTTCACTTTTATTTTAAAACTGAATCTCATTATAGTTCAAAATTTCTTTCTTCGATGAGATATTAGTTCTAAGTTTTTCAAAATCAACTTGGATTTAGCTCTATTTCACGTTATACAGCAATCACCTAATTCTGCCTAAATTGGAAAAAATTAAACACCAATGCTTCAACTTCCTCACATCTCAGCCCCCCTCCCCCTCTCTCCCCCTCCCTCTTCCCCTCCAAACCCCCGAAAAGAACCCATATATCGTACTTTTTTGTGTGCGCTATTTTCCCCTCAAAGCTACTATTTATCGACGCAAAGGACGTCTTCCAAAAATTTAATTGATATTCTTCAGTACCATCGGGGAAATCCTTGAAAAAGCATTGGATGCAGAGCCCCCCCCCCCCCCTGCCCCGCTCTTAGAACGTTAATGAGAATGTTTGACTTTTAATGTGATAAGGAGTCGAGTTGTTAAAAAGAGGGGTCGCTTGAACCGGCCCCCTAGTTTGTTAACTATTGGGTCATACTGTCATTCTGATATAATTCATAACTGCCCGTTCTATTTTAACAGACATCATGAAGTTATGTATTTACCTGTGCCATTAAACACTTGAACTATTTTTTCATAGATTTAGAAGCATTTTTTGTTATTTGTAGAAGTTTAAGTTCTGACTACAATAAAAGAATCTTTGTTGAACTTTGATTGCATCATTGAATTATTTCTATATCTGTTTTAGTGTTCCGAGGAATTCCAGATCCAAGACGCCGAAGTGCGATGACTCCATAAGCATTTAAAAAGAGATCAATTACAGCTAGCTTTTAAATTATTATAACGAGTTCGTTCGGTTAATCACCCAATCATCAATGCTATTTGTTCTAATATCTGATTCATTTTTTCTGATTGAAAATTGAAAATAAAAATCTTATCTGAAAGCTTTTTAAAGAGATACAAAACGTGACGAAATGCAATCATTTGTTCGCCCAACTTTTGTAAAAGCTCAAAAGCAATTTTTTTTTGTGAATGCTGAAAAACAAAACTTGATGGTTTGTATATTACTCTATTTTAATAAAAATTTTCGTTAATAATTCGCAGAGGCTGTATACTGCCTTGCCTGTCTAAGGACCATGGCTTACATCGAATACATGATCGAGCTGTTTTTTGCTTAGCAAAGCTCATTTTTGCGACTAAAGTCTGTTTTTGTTTCTAAGACTTTCACGTGGTCCACTATTGCAGCCGAAAAGGGTCAGTCTTCAGTAGCCTTGAAGTAAGAGGTTAAATGAGAACTCGTCCTGGCAAACTATCAATGTCAAGGTAGTGAATCGATTTAACAATCTGACGCTCTCAAAATGAACCTCCTACTTCTTTACTAAGTGACTATAATTTAGTCGAAAGGTGTCGTTAATTTTAGATTTTTTCTGCTCTTCTTCTGCAGTAAAAAAACATGATAAAAAACTTGTACTTGTTCCCCTCAGTGTGGTCAATATGCACAAGATTAAATGGAAAAACAAAAAAGTAAAAATGTTTCCCTCATATTACTTTTTTGAGGTTTAGTTTCTGTTTTTTTTTCACAATTTTGAGATAAACATGTTTGACAAAAAATTTAAATTTTTAAAACAAAAACGATTTTTTTGAGGTTTAGTTTCTTTTTTTTTCACAATTTTGAGATAAATATGTTTGGAAAAAAAATTTAAATTTTTAAAACAAGAACTAATTCGCCATCTGAGTCAAAAAATGAATTGGTACAAAAACATTGAAGCTTTTTTCATAAAGTCTATTTCTATTTTTTTTTATAAAGGGGTCTTTTAATTTTAGTTTTTCTCAAGTTTTTCTTTTCACGTCATCTCACTGTTAATTGAGACTTCGAAACACCGCCAACTCGTCATCACTCAGTGTAAACCTGAAATAAAGTGTAAGCCTATAAAAATAAATGCTAGGGGATTGTAATACAAAAGGCAACAAAATCTAATGATTAGCTGTTTAAATTTTGCAGGGTAAGCTCTTGATAATAACTCGTGAGAATAATTTTTTTCACACGTTATCCGTAGATTTCAGTGAAAGTTTTCCAGTTTTTCGCTCAAATGGTATCCGCTGCAGAAAAGACTTAATATTTATTAGATCAATCAAGTTTTTTTTACTTACATCTAAGATCAATCAAGTTGTACTTTATCAGTACAACTAGCAGAAAATAGTTTGACAAACACAAAATATAAAAGTTAATTTGAAAAGCACCAAGATGATTAATGCTTTTTTCAAAATATTTTAGAAGGTCGATGCTTTACCGATGGAATATTGCAGATGCATCGATAAAATATCGCACTTTTATCTTTGATTCATCGCTGACAAACTTTCAAAGTGCCAGAGCTAAATCGTCAAAGCACCACCATTGCGTTTTTTAACGATAATATTTAATGTACATAGTTTGAACATAGTTGAAACATCTAATTCAGACGGTTCACTTTTTTAAAACTCCATTATCAACACTTTTTTACTAATTGAAAAAGTATCAATTTTGCGCTTGTCTTAAAATTGCTGCTGGATGTAAAATCGACAACAAACGGCTGCAAAAGAATCTTCCGAGTCTGGTTTTAATCTTCTCAAGCTGACTGGGAATTTAGCAGATTACATGAACAATACTTGAAAAATTTAAAATTTCTACGAGCATAACACTTATTTTTTCATGAAATTGATTTGAGCCACAAGCAAAAAAAAAACTTATTCTTCAGAAAAAACACCAAATTTTTGTTCCCCAGTGATAGTTAAAAATGCAGTAGTTTTCTCAAAAAAAAAGATTTGTTATGATTAAAGTAAACAAGTGAACGTTAGATTCTATAGTTTTTGAACCCCACATGATTCAAAACGTTCTGAAAATTTTCAATAGAGTTTCTAAACTTCAAAAAAAAATTATGAAATTGTTTTAAAAGAATCAACGCAGCTGTTTTTCTAACACGTTAATTTTTGTAACGAAAACTAAAAATGATATGTCAAGCAAACTGGTAAATCATTTCACTACTCGTGGGTTTTTTGGATTTTTTTGCCGTGAAAAACTTGATTATTTTTTTTACTAGGTCTCCTGGTTATGTATTTTTCAGTTTTCAGGTTCGCCCCTTCCGTCCAGATTTTTGGAGTTTCGCCTAGACGCCCTGATTCCTGTAAATCTACGCCCGTGGTGTTCTCGCCCGGTATTTTCTCATCCGTTGACAAAAATATTACCACTAAATTCTAGCTTTCGAGTTTATCAGAGTTTTTTTTAATTTTTCAATTTTTTGCTCTACTTTCAATAAACTTGCTCTACAAAAAAAAGTAATGTGCATTTTCTAGATAAAATTAATTTTTAGAACTTTGTTTTGTCGACTGAGTCAAGAAATTTTACAAATGATTATATAAAATGAACTTGCTCTACAAAAAATTGATTTGCATTTTGTAGACATTTAGAACTTAGTTTTGTCAGCTGAGTCAAGAAATTTTTATGGATACCTAAGCCATAAAATTTTCAATTTTAAAAAACAATCTTAATTTTTTTTGCAATAGGTTCCTTCAAAACAGTTTTGTTTTGTAAAAAATTCTTCAAGTTTTTCACACGTCATCTCACTGTTTATTGAAACTTCGATACACCGCCAAGTCGTCACCGCGCATTTTACACTTGAAACAAAGGACTGCTGGTGGCAAGGGAGCGACAGTGGCTAGAAAGGTTAGCTGTTTAGAAAGTTTACAATCTTCAATGGTTAGCTGTTTAAAATTTGCAGGGTAAGCTCTTGCAATAACCTCGGGAGAGTAAAATTGTTTCAATTTTATTCCTAGTTTTCAGAAAAAAATTATAGATTTCTCAGTCTGAAGGCATCCGCGGCCAGAAAAACTAAAATTAAGGTTTTTTTCCCCCAGATCAAAATTTTTTTTTGATTAATCTTGTTGTAGTTTCTCTGAAACAAATCTATGCAAAACAGTGAAAAACAAAGTTCGCCACCACCAAGTCGTCACCGCGCATTGTACGCTTCAAACAAAGGAGTGCTGGTGGCAATGGAGCAACGGTGGCTAGAATGGTTAGCTGTTTAGAAAGTTTACAATCTTTTGCAGCCTTTTGTTTTCGACTTTTTGTTCGACAGAAGTTATGAGTTCATCAATTACGAGCGGTAATTTAACCTGTGCGCTTGTTTTGATATTGATAGTGAAACAGTGTTATTTATGGCGTTTGATCAAAAAACTACAAACCTTAAACAGCAACGATTAACACAGTTTCAATATCGATGTTAAAAAATGCGCATACGTTAAAATACTGCTGGTAATTGATGAACTCATAACTTCTGTTGAATGTGAAGTCGAAAACAAAAGGCTGCAAAAGAATCTTCCGGTTCTGTTTTTATGTTATCTTAATCTGATTGTGAATTCTGCAGGTTAGATAAAAACTACAGAAATAACTCTGCGTATGATATTTGAAGCTTAAGGATTTTTTAAAGCCATAATCAAAACAAACAATTTATCCTGAAACAATGAACATCTTTTTTGCCACTAGTGATAATTAAAAGGTCAGCAGCGTTGTTTAAAATTAAGTGTAAATTTTCTGATTTTATTTGAAGTTAACCAATTTCAACTGATTCATATTTATGATCGCAAGTATTTTTTTAAAGCTGAAAGTACGCATGAAAATCCCCAGTTTTGAGCTTCTGATTTTCTAAAAAGAGATTTTCTAAAAATCAAAAAATATCTGAAAACTTAAAAAATTAAAAACTTATATCTCAAGTGCTTAAAAACTTATATCTCAAAAAATATCTGAAAACTGAATAATCTGAAGAATTAGCGGTCTTTTAGCAAGCAGCTTATCATATCTAACGAAAACAAAAGTGACACGCATTCAAGCGAACTGGTTAACATTTGGCAAATGCGTTTTTCCTATCTTTTAACCATTGTTGAATTCGCTGGAAACAAAAATTTGAGCGCTTTTTTCAAACTAAATTACTCATTTAAGCACCGTGATTTTTTAAAAGCCTGTGAACTTCTTGCGCATACTTTTGGCGTTTTGACAGGTTTGAAAAGCCAGTCACATAAAGATTAACCCGTACATTATATTGATCGGCATATGATACTTGCAAAAAATGATGCTGAGCATGAGCGGCTGTTTTTGATTTTTTTTGCGACATCAAGTGAATTTTGGTCGTATGAAAGCAAAGACATAGGACTCACTAGATTATTCGAGATCTGGATAAATTTGATGGAGTGGTTAATAGTAACTACACATTCGATTATTTCAACAAACCATTTTTGAGAAATATTTATTTGGTTAGATTTTTTTGCGATTACGCTACAAACCATATGAAGTCATTGTCAGAAAAACTGGAATGGAAAAGTGTTTGGGTGGAGGCAGAAGCTTTTTTGATGCAATATCTAGGCTTATGGGAAAAACAACAGCTTTACGGTATGCAGGTGGCATTGTGGCTCAACTGCCAGTGAAAATCAACGTTCGAAGAATCTAAATTTTCAAGCTGAGAACTTGGAAATAATTCAGGATAGTTTCAGTTTTTACCGCAAACCATAGCTTTTAAAGGAATCGTTTTCAACTTAAATTACGCAAGACTTCTAAATGAATGAAAAGAAAACTTCAAAAATTTTCCATTTCAGCGTTTTTAATACTCTTAACAACGTTGTTTCTTCCACTAATTAATGTACTTAAAAATCGATCTTTGGCATGCTAAACCTAAGCAATATTGGCTTTGAATTGTCCTTTCTTTTAAATCTTTATGAAATCTCGTTTTTTCTAAAACGGATATTCTTTTGAAAACTCAAATGTAAATGTTTGTTCAAAACTATCAAAAACTTTTGTATCACTCAGAAGCTTTCGAAATTATTGATTGACCAAATTTCAGGGATTATAATTTGTGAAAATTGATTAATTTTAAGAATCAATACGATTTTAAAAAGTCGACATCAAAGAAGTTTTCGA